TTGAGCTTGATGTCTTGTTCTCGCTTGTCTCTCTGTTACTGTCCAGACATGGTAGTACATGGGATATTTGACACCCTTTGTCTTCAATTGCAAGCTCAGCGCCGCGAGGAACAGCCAGGACTCTGGGTACTGGGGCCTCTGATGTCTGTGAGGAAGCTAGAATGGCTGATGGTTGGGGAAGATTTGGTGTCTTTGGCGTCTCGAAAAGTGCTAGAGTCTCTGATTTATAGGAAAGGTTTGATTCTATAGTAAGAGGTCGTGTGCTTGATGCTTTGTTCTCGGTTATCTCTCTGCTAATCCTTAGGTAGGTAGAAGAATACATACAGTGGCAATTTTCAATGTCCTCGGATCGCCTTTCATGGTCGCCAAAAGTGAAGAGATAGGATACTTTTAACGACACATGTTTCAGGGTTTCCAATAACGAAGCCGATATTGTCATCAAAGCTTTGAACATTTTGCTCGCGGGTTGATTTCTGACGAGAATTCAGACGATAGTGTTTGATCTTCGTCACGATCTTAGACAATGCGCAAATATGATAAAACAACGATAATAAATCAAAGGGTTCTGAACAGAGGCTTGGTAAATCTTGGAGTAGTGTTGGCTTGATATCGATGCAGTCGCCATGGAGTTTGCTCGCTCCTCGGTGGTCCATCCTCTTAAGTAGTTACTTTTAGCACTAGTACGCATGCTTTTCTTTTCTTTTTCCCCTTCGGCTGAGTGTACCCTTGCTTAGAGTTTTGCATCTCATTTATGCATGCCTGCGAACACCTTATCCATTACTACGCTCCGCTCTTTGTCCTCGACGGGCAGTGACGTGGGCCCCTGTAACGAAGGCCCGTGGGTTCGTTTCTTCTTCCGGCTATCGTCAGTCAGGGTAGTTATGATCACCATTCGGCATGGGAGGACAGGGGTGCTTCCGACCTGATCATCTCGGACGTGCTTGTATGATGGCCGAAAGCACGACTTCAACAGCTGTTTGGGTACTTTGAGCCCACGGAGCCCGAAGGCAGTTACTATTTCGCTTAGCCCAATGGAGAGACACGGAGAGACGAACGGCCGGTTCAATTGAAAGCGCAGAGATGGAGAAAGCATAATCGCTGTAGCTGCTAATTCACATGCAACCATAGCCCTTCATCTCGAAACACTACGCAACAGCAATCCGCTTTTATTGAAGTCCCTGCTGCACCGTAGTGATTTGTATACAATTACTATCTGGGAACATTCCCATTCTTGACTCGTAGCATTCTCACCCGGGTCGAGCCAGCTTGAAGTATATGAGGAGGCTATCTGGAGTAACTCAACCACGACTTCCTCGTTTCAAGCTTCCGTGGGACAGCTCACGGCAGAAGAGCGCCGACCTTGGCATAAAGTCCCAACATGCATCCCAAATTATTATCAGCAGGAGAAGATAGGGACAAGGTTGCTAGCTAGACATTCAGCGCAATTTTCCATGCTATCGCAGTTTATGTACCATTTGTATTAATATCGGGAATATCGGACAGTGAGCATTCACCATCCCTTGGAGTGGTATCCATCGCTGGCCTCTTTGGAAAAGTACTGGTTCCAGCTGCTCGCGTTTACTTCCTCGCTCTTCTTCATGCAAGGCTTCTCAGGGTACTGCTTCAAGTTGGCCACATCTTGTGATTTATGGCGTCGCTTGAGGACGGCATTGGCTGTCGACGACTTCACCTTTCGCTCCCAGAGGAGGTGGCGTCGAAGAGACTCGGTCAACTCAGTCGCCAACATGTTGCGACGAGTGGTACGAGGTGACAGCGCAGCTTGAGGCTGAATGCGATTGGGGACAGTCATGATGGGTTGAGCGCTAGAACGAGGCACCTCATGAATAGGCTTGAGACCTGGACCACGCATGCCCTTCATCATCAGGGGAGCCTCGTCAGAATCATTAGGCGAGGCACCCAATGATGGGCCGTGGGCCATACAAGATCGTGGAATGGCTGAAGTCGATTGAGAAGCGTGGTTACCAAGAGTGCATGCGCGATCGTTCTGGGCAAGCATGAGGGTAATGAGCGATCGTCGTGAGGTCAAGTTGGGCTTGGAATCCACTCGCTGAAAGAACTTGTCGTCCATGCTGGATTTGTCGCTCTCCTCCATTGAATCCTCCCAGTCCGAAGAGTCGTCATCGTCATCGATGGCGCTCTCGTCGATATAGTCGTCGGTGTCTGAGTCGACTGCTGCCTCATCATCAATCGTTCGTGTCATGGCATTGTTGCTGAACGAGACCTGCTTCTTGCGTGCAGAGAGGAGCAAGCCAGGTCGTGATGAAGCCATGGTGCTCTCCAGAGGACCATCTCTTTCAGAGGAGTCACCGATCCGAAACACGGGTTTGTGTAGGGGATGGTCGTCTACGAAAGGAGCGTTGAGAATAAGACAAGTTCGAAATTAAGAATGAAATAATGCAGCAATGGTTAGACAGCTAAACATGCTGGCTGTGTACTTCCACTATATAGGTCAAACATGCCATACCTAGACACATTGGTGTGAACCACCGGAAGCAAAAACAAAGAGGACGGTAGATGTCGCCCCTTGCAACTCAATGCATCTTCAATTGCTCAATCATATCACTCACAGCGCCAAACCAGAAAGGGGCTTGTTTCTAGCTCGATTTTGACCTACCGGGTAGGTTTCCCTGTCTGGTGACACCATCTTTATGGCTTTAGCGAATGCATGAAGCTTGTACATTGGCACATCCCTGCATAAAGTAGTCTTGAGATAACAGCAACGGTAATTGGCTGGACTCTTGGGCAAGGAATCAGCAAGACGGCGGCACCCCGGGATATGAAGTAGAGGCACGTACATTCAAGCGTGGATACTGAGTCATGGACAATCTCCCCAGACGCTCGATTCTCTTCATTTTCCAAATGCCGTGGTAGCTAAACAGGTAGCAGCAACGGTCATCAACAGGGTCCGAACGGCGGCGCCGGATGTTGGCACTGAATGCGGGCCGCCCCACCTCCCGTGTTCCGTGTGTAGATCTTCCCCATCATGCCGAATGGGGACTGGCATGCACACCAGATGGGAGCCATGAAGGCAAGTGGTACCTCGTCATGTTAGCGCAGTTTTCTCCCCCCTACCTGGCCATGGGGATCAGCTGCTAAACGCGCAGGCGCATCAACTGTAAGTCGAAGTTGACCTGCCTGGTCCGAGATGGCCCCGGGAGAGGTCTCGACTCACAACAGAGCAATTTACGTCACCTCCAAGCCTAGATAACAATATTAGACGAGAGCTGTTTATAACCTGTTTAGACGGTCCGATGCGTGTATGAGTATGTGGATTGCAGCGCTTTACGCGAGTCGCACTTTTTTACAACGTGCTGAGGTTCCAGGAAATACATCAAGATAAATGTGCCGGGGCTCTCGGGGGCAGCGTATGGCGATCCGGCTTCTTTGTGATTCAGATCAAGTAGAAGCGCGAGATTAGGTATTAAAACAGAATCAAAACCTCTTCATTAGATCTGGATAATTTCTTGAATATGATTCTCATGTTGACGAGGGTTCGAAACACTACTAGTTGTAACAATGCTCCTCTGAAGTTGGTGAAGACCAATTCCCGATGTCTCCGCGTCGCGTACATTTCGCGCCAAAACGACAAATAAACGCACTGGCGGGGCACGCTTGCACTAAAGATCATGAAGTTCCAAACTGTTTTTCTAATGAATTAGTCCTCACATATTGTTTTACCAGAGTGTTGCGCCAAGAAAAAGATAATTTTTTCAGGTAATTCCGAATCGCCTAAGGAACCTGTATGTTGGTTGACTGAAAACTTCGAGGTCTCGCTCTTTAGCCTACCCTACACGTGTCGCCGGAAAATTGTATCACCCTTTTGGAGACCACCCACGAAACATTTTGGCTCCACCCGTGAGCCACGCTTAGTTGACTACCCACGGCACGAATGCCATCCATGCCATTCTGCAATTAGCTCTCCGACGCATGACATCTACGATCCTGAATATTCCCTCTCGAGCGACATCGAAATGCGACGAAGCTTCCTCCCTACCAAGCGACAAGCAACTCCATCGCCCTAGTTGTTCACACGCTAGCATCTCGACACAAACAACGAGCCCTGTCGCATCTCCAGCTCGGACCACGCTGGCCTCAATGCGTTCTGCACGCTGTGAAGGCCACGGTTCACCGCTCTGATACATGGCCGATTTTAGCTGGCAGGCCAGTCACATCTCAAGACAACGCTTGTTCATCGCATTCACGTACACGGTCGGACTTTCCTCGTTCCCGACTTCGCAATCGGCGAGCCACTCGATTATAAGCGCTAGAACTATGGCCACACTCTAATAATGGTGGCTGGTGGTTAAGTTTAAACATATTTCGTGTTATCCATGTCATGAAATGCCCAAGACATCCGAACCAAACGCTGGCCAGTAATCCTCCACAATCCACCGTTTCAACCGTCGCAACCTGAATATTAATGAGTAGATCTTCAGCTCCGAGTCCGTTCCGCCAAACTGACCCCCCTTCAAGAGCCCTGGCCTGTCGTTCTCGTCCAAGATGCTCGCAACCAACTGCTAGTCGTGTCTGTGAGGGAGGAAATCGATCGGTCGAAACGATGGGCCACGTTTGTATTGAAGGCCTGCGCCACTGGGCTGATTGCCAGGTTCCCATCTGTCAAGTTGCACTGTCGCGGTCTATATTGGAACGCTTGGTCTCCATGGAGAGCGCGATGGGTTGTTTACAAAGGTCCCCTAGATCGGTATGATTGATCGATTGAGCCGGTCGGGTTTGGTAGATCTCTTCGATAGCTCGTTCCACAGGGGCTCCCTCTTTCAGGTTTGCAAATCACGCAAAAATCTACCATTTTGGATGGCGCTTCTCCAGGTTTGCAGTCACGGATGATCTGCGCGGCTTGAGAACACCGAAAGTCAACTGGACCATCGCTCACGAATCCGTTACTTTTTCGGAAAGCTTGCTCAGAGATGTTGGCGTGGATTTCCCCGTTCCACGCAGCCTCGCATTCCCGGTGAATTTCGCATTCAGCAGCGCGCATCATCAATGCTTGTACTCAATCGATTAACGGCAGGTCGATCTCGGTGGATTCTGTCTGCGCTCGGGTGGCTTCCGTCTCGTCGAATGCGGATAGTGGTATTCTGGAACTTGCGTTTTGAAGCTGTGTCATCACATTAAAAAAGCAAGACCGCAGACTAGAGTGAGGATTGGTAATGTTCCAGTCAACATGCCTTATTCTTCAGCGAAGCTGGCAGAATACCATGACCCACTCCGATATCGTCTCGTAAAGTACGGAGGGGCGGAGGGTAGGTGTCTAGTATGAAGCTGCCCATTCTGAATCCTGTCTGATTGATTTCAGCGTTGCGGATTTGTCGCGAGGAAGATC